CCATATATACGATTTACACTACTATCTTTTGTTTCACTTTTCAAAAAAATAAAATATAAATATAAATGATCTTAAATAGGAAAATTCAATTTTATCTGGAATTGAGAGGTTTTTTATCTGGTCAAAACGGTCTTACGAGACCAAAACCATATAACCAAATTTGATTAGGTGTAAAAAAAGAAAAAAAAAAAAAAAAAATTTGATTGGTGAACTAAGTGTGAAGCCATACTCATATCATATATATAGGTTATTGAGCTTAATTGTCCCATATAATATTTTTTGTCAACAACGTAACGTAACATACATTTGATTTGAACTGAAATTATGACATAGTAACAAACACTAATACGTACACATTATACAGTGATTACTAGATTAAGGTTTTGGTCAAGCCGATCCGAACAAATCGTGTCATTCAATCCATATTACTGAGTCCAACTCAAATGATTTTTATAATCCGTCTGATTAGTTTTTAGGAATGAATACATTGGCCACCAACTTGATTTGTAACTTTCAAAAAGAGCTCAATTCCAACCAGCAAAATTAAACCAGTAATCTCTATATGCAAACGTGGATTCCGTTCTCGACGTGATGACAACTGCAACAAACAACTAGCATAGAATTAATCCATGGCATGTGAACGGATCCGATCGATGTAACCCCATTAAAATTGTATAATTAATCCTTTATATTTATATATAATATATTTATAGCCTCGTCCTCCTGTTACATGCAATAAGAAGAAGAAGAAGAAGAAGAAACTAGTACTATAAATTTAGTAGCTTGTCTCTCCCATCCTGTCTTTCGTTTTTCAAATAAGACGGCATTTAAATTTTGTACCTGATTAATTGTGATTGACGCCAATAAAAATAGTGATGATCTTAAGCATGAATTTATTCCGTTACATTCTTTTATTTGTATACAAAAAGTAGAGTGTAAATATTTTAATTTCTAAGAATCTGCGTAAAATAAAAATTACGAAATTTACTTGTATAAACATATGTATATTTTATGTTATGGTATATATATATATATATAAAGTAAATATTACAAAAATATATGTATGATCCATAAACTTAAGATATGCATTAAATGCAAACACATATTTCAGATTTCAGACTTATTAAGTTGAGTATATATACCTCTATAGTCAAGCTCTTAATTAAAAAGACTAAACACAACACACACACACACACACACACAAAAAGGCTAGAAGAAATGGCAGATCCATTAGAACCATTGTTGTCTCATCTCGCCGATGATTCTTCTGAAGTCAACGACCAAACCAGATCAGAAGAATTGACTTTCGACAGGATCGTCGAGCAGAGTCTATCTGATTTCGGATTCTGGCAATTTTTTCAGATATTCCTCGTTGGGCTTGCTTTGCTCTTCGATGCTCAGCAGATATTCATCACCGTCTTCACAGATGCATATCCCACGTGGCACTGTCTTAACCACACGATCTGCGATCCTTCGGCTTCCGACATCTGCGAGCTTCCAAGATCAGCCTGGGAATGGGACGGTGGTTCCAAGGGCAAATCCATCATTTCAGAATTCGGCCTCGAGTGCTCGAGCTCATTCCTCAGAGGTATGCCTAGTTCTTCTTTCTACATCGGTGCCATCGTTGGTGGTTTCTTTCTAGCTTTGATCCCAGACGATTCCTTGGCTCGCAAGAAACTAGTTTTTTCCTCTACCTTTGCAATGTCAATCACTTCCATCTCTGTTATCTTCTCAACCAACGTATGGGTTTATACATCCCTAAAGTTTATCATCGGCTTCGCGCGGTCACAGACCTGGTCATACGCGCTGGTTCTCATTAGTGAGCGTGTCTCCACCAGATGGAGACCAAGAGCTACGATGATTCCATTTACTCTATTCGTTTTAGGGTTTATGTCCTTGTCTGGAATTGCTTACCTTGCACAACATTCTTCATGGAGATTTTTATATATATACACATCCATTCCAGCAATATTCTACTGTATATTCCTCTACCTCTTGGCACTAGAATCGCCTCGTTGGCTTCACATGCAAGGAAAAGACAAAGAAGCCATTGATGTTCTCACAAAGTTGTCACCTAAGAGAAGAGCTTATTTGGAATCAGTAATTTCCAAGCTACCCCTCGAGCAAGAAACCTATGATCAAGTGCCAACTTACTCTATTAAGGACCTTTTCTTCCGAAAATGGGCTTTTCGGAGGATTGTAGTGGTTATGATCATCATGTTTGGGTTGGGAATATCGTATTACGGTGTTCCGTTAGCAGCTAGGGACATAGACGTCAACATCTACTTGAGCGAAACCTTAAACGCATTGGTGGAGTTGCCTACTTTCATTATCACTCCAATCTTATTAGAAAGATTCAACAGAAGAAGCTCTGTTCTTGTAAATACTTTACTCGGTGGGGGATCAGGTGTGCTCTGTTTCCTTCTCAGCATTACCGGACAAACAAAGATCGCGTTTGCCTTTGAACTGGGAACATTCTTCTGCGCTAGGATCGGATTCAACCTTATGGCTGTTTTTATGGTTGAAATGTTTCCAACTCGTGTGAGAAGTTCGGCAACAATGATGTTTAGACAGGCTCTTGTTATTGGAGGAGCTTGTTGTCCGTTAATTGCGTCGATCGGAAGAGACATACCGTCAGTATCGTTTGCAATTTTTGGAATTGCAATGTCTTGTTTAGGATTGTTCGTTTTAATTCTTCCCGAGACAAAAGGTTTGAGTCTATGCGATACGATGGAAGAACAGGAAAAGAGAGATCAAGTCGTAAACACCAGCCATGGTTGCTGAGTTTAAGACTATGGTTAGCTTATACATTCTCTAATTTCATATGTTTCCAATTCTGTGATGTCCGTGTTGTGATCTTAAAAGCAATATATTATGAAGTGGAGTAAAACTAAAGAGTATTTGCTATTCATCTACAAAACTATCAAATGAGTGTCTATGTCTTTGAACTACTAATACAGAAGCATTTACATCCATATTTGATGAAGCCAAGAAATCTCCGACCGTTCCTAATTCTGGACACTCTTCCCAATCGTTCATTCCCGACGTCATCGGGCAATCTCCTCTGTTTTTCCCGACCACAAACAATGAATACATCTCCCCGATCTCTCTTAAAATCGTCAGCGTTTGCATTCCGCTGCTCACTCGCTTCTCTATGAATCCGACTTGCCCCGTCGTTACAAATCTGTCAAGACAAATAACATCGTCCTCGTAAATGAAAGACGCAATGTAAATCTGATAAAGACAAGACAAAAAACAGAAACAGAGTATATTTGTAGTGACATTGCTTCAGATACAGAGTAATCCAAGAAACAGAGTACTCGTAATGCCAAAACAAAACAGAGTATTTGCATAAACAAAGTAAAACGTAGAAACAGAGTATTTGTAAGGTACCTGTTATAGAATTCCTCTAAGAAGCTTCTATCTGTTTCGTCTTCGGTTTGATCTTTACTAACAATCTCCAGGAATATTTCGTTGTTCTCCTTGGTCACAGCGTCTCCAACAAGTTTCTCTGTCTTTGAGTCATCCGCGACAAACTGTATGACAGTGAGGTGAATCTGAGAGTTATTGGTAAGCCACTTGCATAAGGACAGGGCCTCACGATCATCAGGACCACCGAAGAACAAGGCCACAACGTGTTGTACCGAATCAGACCCGTGAAGCTGGTGAAAGCCGGTGATGTTTCTATCCACAAAGATACCAATCGAACACTGAGCTTGCTTTAGAACCTTGCGGTTCATATGTCGAAAAGCTTCCCCATCATTCGTTGTTTTCCCGTCGATCCTCTGGTGTTTATGGAAGGGAAGAAACACGATCGAGACGCGGAGATCTTCAGTCGCGTTACAGATCTCTTCGTGCATTTTCTCCATCTGCGCCACGAGTTTCACCTGCCGGATCATGATATGTCTGTCTTTAGTAAAGGAATCGATCGAGTCATTGATCTCTAGTCCTTCGTTAGTCCCGAACTCATCGTCTCCGCCGTTGGGATTCCCTGCATCTTCGTCTAATTCGTGGTACAACAGTTCCGTTTTCCGCTTCTTCGGGATGGGTATGAGGTGCATAAGATAAGGAGTGAATGGAGAAGGCGAAGCTCCAGGAGAGCAGCCACTTAGAGCAGAGACCAAAGAGATTGATCCACGTGCATGGCGAACGCCGTAGACGCAAGTCAACACTCGTAGCTCCTCTTTAGTGTCAAAAAACTCCAGCGATGTCTTTTTGTGTGCGAAATTTTTCTCTTGCGTTCTAAGCAACAAAGACGTCATAACTCCGCTTAACAAAGTCATGATCACCAGTGCCGCAACGAACATATCATGAACTATCGGAGTAAACCATTTCTACAAAGAGAAAAATCAATAACTCGGAGGTGAAGAACTGACATGAAAAACTACGTACATTGACTATATTTTTTCATAATTTATTGTAGTACCTTGTAAACCAAGTTAGAGTCGAGAAGAACAAGACCGACATGACCTTTGACGGAGAGAATGGTTGACAAGAAAAGCCAATACTTCTTCGGGATCTTAAGGAATGAGCAAGCGAATAAAACTCCTAGAAGCTTCCCCGTTAGGCTTAGAGCCACTGTCATAGCGAGGACAAGGTAGTGGCGTTTGGTTAACGAGTTGACGCTGAATCTAAACCCGATGTAACCAAAGTAAACCGGAAGAATAAACTCGTGAATCGGGTAACTCAACCGTTGGATCAACGTTCTGTAAGTTTTTCCTTCTCTTGGAAACATTAGTCCGATGAAAAACACAAAAACCGTGGAGTTTAAGTTGCTGGATTCGATGGTTAACGCGATGATCAGAATAAGAATGAAGAAAGCAAGTGTTTCAGCTTTGGAGAGGTATTTTTCTCTAGGGTTTCTTTTTGGGAGCCATGAAGCTAAAAATCTATTAATCAAGATTATAACTCCGGTGGCAAATGAGTAGAGAAAAATATCGCCTGTCATAGTCCCGGAGATGAAAGAAATGACGGTAGTGTAGAGAAATATGTTGGTTATCTCGATGAACAATCCGCATGAGATTGCTAGCCGCCCGATCTCGGATGTGTGTAGTTTCCAATCTATGATCGAACGGATGACGACAGGAGCTGCCGTGTTGGATAAGGTAACGAGGAAGGCTAAGTAAAATGTTAAGTAATCGTCTTTGATCTGCATGAAATGGATGAGAAACCAGAGGAAAGCAAGCCAGATGATGCCAGAAGTGAACAAGGAGCCCAAGGTTATGACGATGGAGTTCTTCAAGTTTCGTTTAAGGAAGTCAAGATCGATCTCGAGACCGATCAAGAACATGAAACCTGTTCGTAAAAGGAATGAGAAAAAGATGTAATAGCTCGCTGAGTCTTTCTGCAGGAAGAACTCGTGGACTCTGCGTATTATTGTGAGCAAACTCAACACAATCCCAGCCTGAATAAAAAATAAATAATCAAACGTTTACATGCAAGACATAACTTTCCTGGTGTTTCTTGCACAGCAGGTTACTCTCAGGGTCTTAAAGTGCACTCTCGTAAAGTCTTTTATAGGGATATACTTGTGAATAAATTCAAAATAAATAAGTAAAAAATAAAACTTACGAGAATTTGGGCAACGGGACCGGCTTGGCCACAAGGTTTGAGGAACAGATAGAAGAATTGGGAGAAGACGAGAATGCAAGCCATTTGAATAAACATTGTATTGAGTGGATTAAACAATGCATCTCCTTCTGGTAAACAAAACAACATCTTTGGATCCATTGTGATTTTGATTCGGCGATGAGCATTCTTCGAAGAAGAAATTCTATGCGGGAAATATAAAATTGTGAAAGAAACTTCAATTTCTTTTTAAACGACGAATATATATTTCTTGGGATTTTTTTTTTTTAAACGAAAATATTATTTTATCTTGGTTGGAGTTTGAGGGGTTTATATTTACGTGATTATCCTTCAATTACTCCATGCCTCTGTTATTTTCGCCATTATTTTTCTTGTCGGCACATTTAATTTACCCCATTAAGAGCGGATTAACTTTACTAAATCGGATAATGCACGAAAAATTATTGGAGTAGGTACAATAAGTGTCGACTGATTCCAGCAAGAAAGCTAGTTATATATGTAATCCTCTGACATCACATTCTTTCAAAAGTACGTATTTATTAAAATTTGTACTAGCTAGCTTCTATGCATGTAAGAATTTAAGTGCACATATAGATGTCAAATATTTCATTATGAATCGGTGTCAACTATTCTTACATCAAACATTTCTAAAAAAAAAGTATATATATATGAATATTGACTAAAACTGCTGCATGAAAAGACAGGGTGGTATACTGGTATCTAATCTACATATTTGACTTTCAAAGACAATCCAATGTTCTGAATACGAATAAACAAAATTATATACGCCTCCATGAAATTTTACAGTTTATTTAAGTTCTCTGTTAGGCTGTTACGTAAGGCTGCGTACGTACAAGCTTCCAAATGAACAAAGACAGTCGAAAAGATAACTCCCATGACCTGGAAAGCAATTCGATCAAGCTTATCTTGTCCAACTGCAGCAAAATCGGTGCAACTTGGTAATTATTGTAACATATAATCGTAGTAGTAGTTAACAGCCAGCATCTATTGGGTTGTAACTTTGTACTTATCTTACAATAAGATTTAAGCCAAAAACATGCATGCAGCTTCTTATGAAGATGTTAAATAAATATAAAACCATTGTTTTTTTTTATTTACGAAGATGTATCTCAAGAAAGGACAAAACCCCATCAAAGAGAAAATGATAGTGAGTGGTCCCAAAAATAAATAGTTAACCCCAAATTAAAGTGGTTGAGTATATGTAGCTAATTACTTAACTCATCCTCATCCATTCACTTTTGCATCTGAGAGTTATTATAGGGCTCATCATTTAACCTATTGAACATATCTAATAAATGTGTTTTAATTATATCATAAATGCTGCCAAGAAATATATAAATATCTATTTTAACTTTAATAAATACATGAAAAATACATATATACTGTATTTATTACATATGTGATAAATTTGAGTTGTAAGGACAAAAATCCCAAAAAGCTCTATTAAAACGGACGCACTTTGTTGTAATGATGGCTTTTTTTTCTTTATGAATAAATTTTACATTCATTCGAAAATCTATATATAGTTTAGCCAAAAAAGGAAAGCATGTAATGAAAAATATAAATCCTTTTCGGAAGTTTGAACACATGTCAGATTCTAGACATGCTCTGCTGGAGCCTCGTCACGGACTCACAGGCAGTATTGCATCCAGATGTAGTTGCACCGTTGTAATGTATATCATCAATCGCAATATTTCCAAGATTTTTCATATCACTCTAAAATACATTACTAACTAATTCGCTACTTACTTAAATTAATTTGAACACGCAAGTTGTCATTCATCATCTATATATTGTTGAGTAACATACTAAATTTTATAGACATGCAGATCAATTCAGTCATAACATAAGGAAAGAAAAATACATCTTCTTATATATGGCCGACTCGACTCAGCCGTTTCTCTCCGCTTCCAACTCGTCTGAGTCAAAGCTTCTACCACCAAGATCCCTTGATGAGACGATAGAGCGATGCATCGGAAACTTCGGGTGGGCACAGTTCCTTCAAGCCGCTTTGATCTCATTCGCTTGGTTCTTCGACGCTCAGCAAACATTCATCACCGTCTTCACCGACTCACAGCCAACGTGGCACTGTACCGACTCGGTATGCAACATTTCCTCCAACATCTGCACCTTACCCAACCAAACCTGGTCGTGGGACTTCGACCCACACGTGTCAATCATATCCGAGTGGGGTCTACAGTGCGCTGGCTCGTTCTTAAGGGGATTGCCTGCAAGCTCCTTCTTCCTCGGCTGTCTAGTAGGCGGCTTAGCTCTTTCTACACTCGCCGACTCATCGCTTGGTCGTAAGAACATGCTATTGCTGTCCTGTCTCATAATGTCTCTCTCTTCGATGTTAACAGCTTTATCAACAAGCATTTGGGTATATGCGTTCTTGAGATTCATGAACGGGTTTGGTCGAGCCACGATCGGGACTTGTGCCCTCGTTCTGTCGACGGAGTTAGTGGGTAAAAAATGGCGAGGGCAAGTCGGTGCGATGGGTTTCTTTTGCTTCACGTTAGGGTTTTTATCGCTTCCAACGTTTGGTTACATCAATAAGGAGAATTCTTGGAGGTATCTCTACGTTTGGACGTCAATACCGACTTTAAGCTATTGCGTTTTAGTTCGGATTTTCGTCCGGGAGTCTCCTAGGTGGCTTATCGTAAAGGGTCGTAAAGAAGAAGCCGTCTCGATTCTCAAAAGCATTGCTTCTAATGCAATCACTGTGAGCTCCACGAACTTATGTTTTGATCTAGAAGAGAATCAATCCGAGTTAAACCCTGATGTTTACGACGCGTTAAAGATCTTGGTGAGGAAAAGTTGGTTGCTTAAGAGATTATTAGTGGCTATGGCCGTTGGATTTGGTATCGGCATGGTTTATTACGGAATGCCATTAGCTTTAACGAATCTAAACTTCAATCTCTACTTGGGTGTTGTCTTCAACGCCTTGTCTGAATTCCCAGCTTTTCTCATAACGTTTTTCCTCATTGATAAAATCAACAGAAGAGATGCGTTGATCGGATTTACAGCTCTAAGTGGGATCTCTAGTGCTCTAATCGCAGCATTAGGACAACAAATAGGGTCATTACAGATTGTGTTAGAGCTCGTTTCGTTTTTCAGTGCGTGCACCGCGTTTAATATGACGCTTATATACACGATCGAGCTGTTTCCGACATGTGTGAGGAACTCGGCGATGGCGATGGTGAGGCAAGCGTTGGTGTTTGGCGGCGTTTTTAGTCCAGTGATGGTTGCTGCTGGTCGGGAAAATCAGTTTTGGTCGTATGGGTTGTTTGGTTTGGTCATAGGATTGTGTGGATTGTTTGTGGTTGGATTACCGGAGACTAGAGGAAGTGTTCTATGCGACACTATGGAAGAGGAGGAGTATAAGGTTTTGGCAAAGGGACAATTTGTTGGTTGATATACGGCTTCTAATTCTTTACGACCCTTTACGATGTCTTGTCTGATTTGTTGTAATATAAAAGAATGTGCAACCGGTTTCGTCCTGATCCAAATTATCTGGTTTTTAATTGAATTATACTTTAGAAAGGTCTCGCCGAGGCCTATATTATACTCTTTTTTTTTTTTTTTTTTTTGACAAAGGCCTATATTATACTCATATATACGAAATTCCCATTAAAAAAACATCTAAACGTGGTTTACCTACCCAAGAGCTCATCAGTTGGACATTTAATCACTTGTAAAGTAATAATTAACTTTTGTGTTATGCTAATTTTTATTTTATTTGGTTTAATCTAAATGTTCCACTAGCCTTAATTATCAAAATTGTTATTTTACTATTTAATTCTTTAATATAGTTGTGTAAATGATTGAACATTTATTTCAGCACCACTGATCACCCACATACAATCATACATATCCTTTGATTGGCAAAAAAAACACTGTATAAGTATTTAATGTGTTTAGTTGTAAGACTTGTTTTATTTATTTTTTATACATTAATATATTGGGAAAAAAGTGTTCAAGTTTAACTACTCATTTTGTTTTACACCTAGTTTTTGTTTGAAAAATAAGTTTTTTATAATGTAAATATTAGGTAAATTTTACACATTTCATCAATAGTATATTGGTGTAGTGACCAGTAAGAAACTCGTATAATATATTAATACGAAGTAAAACAAACAATTAAGTTTTTTAATTTCCTACTTAATAAGATACAAATTATATAAACGTGATTACCTTCATACCTACCCATACACCCAAACCCGAAACATGTAATCTATAAATAATTAACACACAACGACCAATATCCCATTATCGCTAGTGTTCATTGCTAACTCACCACACAACACAAACATAATGATGATAAAAATGATGAGCCTTACCTCATCATTATCATCATACCCTTTTCAAATCCTACTAGTCCTTATCGTCTCCATAGCATCAATCTCTATACTGGGTCGAATTCTATCAAGGCCCACCAAAACCAAAGACCGATCTCTTCAGCTTCCTCCTGGTCCACGAGGATGGCCTATCCTCGGCAATTTACCGGAGCTTTTCATGACTCGTCCTCGGTCCAAATATTTCTACCTTGCCATGAAAGAGCAAAACACGGATATCGCATGTTTCAACTTCGCCGGAGTCCACGTCATCATCATAAACTCTGACGAGATCGCTAGAGAAGCTTTTAAGGAGCGAGACGCTGATTTGGCAGACCGGCCTAAACTTTTCACCTTGAAGATTATCTTTGACAACTACAAGTCAATGGGAGTCTCATCGTACGGTGAACAATTCACGAAACTGAGAAAAGTGATCACGACAGAAATTATGTCCGTTAAAACGTTGAACATGTTGTTAGCTGCAAGAACCATCGAAGCGGATAATCTCATGGCTTACGTTCACTCGATGTACCAACGGTCCGAGAAGGTTGACGTTAGAGAGCTCTCGAGGGTTTATGGTTACGCAACGACCATGAGAATGCTGTTTGGAAGGAGACATATCACGCAAGAAAACGTTTTCTCGGATGATGGGAGGCTAGGAAAAGCGGAAAAACACCATCTTGAGGTTATTTTCAACACTCTGTATTGTTTGCCTGGTTTTAGCCCAGCGGATTATGTGGACAAATGGTTAAAAGGTTGGAACATTGATGGTCAAGAGAAGAGTGC